GTTGCTAAAATATCAAAATTTTTTTGCTGTTCATCAATATTGAGCTTCCAACATAAATATTTTTATGGTCCAACAAAATTGTTTTTAGATCTGTATCCAGCTAAATTTTAAAATTTTTCAGTTGAATTGTTTTTTCTGTGTACCTAGAGATTTTTTCGAAAATTTTAAATAGCAGTTACACGTACACACAAAAAGTAGATAAAAATTCATCAAAATTTTATCTAAAACATTTTTGTTGATGATGACATGTATCATGTCATTTTTATATCATTTTGACAATAATTATGTAAAGTTTAGAATCAAATAGAACTATTAACTTTAAGGATTAAGTATTAATTTTAATTTCTTTATCTTTTAAATCTTATAGTTGACGCGTATTTATAAAAAATATGTGTCTTTTAGATTTTTGTGTTTACACGGAAAAAACGATTTCGTTGAAAGGTCTAAAAATTTTGCTGAATACAGATCTGAAAATTAATTCTTGTTGAATCATCAAAAAATTTTGTTGAAATGTTAAAAATGATAAGCATTGCTATAAAATATTTTGATATTCTAACAATTATTTTGATTTTCCCACAAAATTATTTTCAGATCTGGATCCAGCAAAATTGTTCTTTCCGTGTAACAACGTATTTCTAAAAAAATCAAATCGATTTCGGACAGTTGTGACATATTTTTTGTTAGTTACTCGTCAAGTAGAAAATCGAAATCTAAATTGTAATTTTAAGAGACAGTAAAAGAGGGTAATTTCGCTTTTCGTATATCATTCCGTGTGAAAGAGTTAGATCGAGGGTTGACTCGAGACAGATCTCGGCATTGAATAGTCGTCAAAATATAAACACAACGCTCCAATTGGTAACACTGAAGGAAGCCGATCGGCGTGGCCGATACGCGCCATTATCCAAGAATCTTTTTCACTTAATCCTCAATGAGAAACCCATTTCTGAATCGACACCGAAAACTTTTTGGCTGGTCGAAGGTCCTCCGGGGGTCTACTTTTCTTTTTTGCCGCGCACGACCAGACTGTCAATTTTCTATCACGGTTCAAAACCAGTCCCGGTGGTCGGACGACACCGCGGCCGCTTTATAATAGATTGATTATTATTTAATTGTACAAAAATTTATATATATATTTTTTTTTTTGATCAATTAATTATTTATTATTATTATTATTATTTGCCAAGTTACAAACAATAATATAAAAAAACTGCGACAGATTATGTACACAGAAATTAGATACAAAGTTTAATATTATTACATTTTTCATTTTTAATGTATTAAAATCGGCGACTTAATTTTTTATTTGACATTTTAAAAGTTTAAACGTATTTAAAATTATTTTATGTAGGGAAAGAAAATAAATCACATTAGTTATACATTTTTTATTAAAAAAATGTAAATAGTTATTTTAATAATAAACGAAGCACTTCTCTTCGCACATTCAAACGTTGACATATATAATTTGTATTAGTCACATTTTCATTACCTCCCGAAAATAACTGAAAATACAAAATATTTTTGGTATTAATCTTAGTCGATAATACTATATTATCTTTAATATTTGTGAGATTTGAACATAATTAGACGAATAATTAAATGAACGTGGATGATAAGATCGGAAGAGCACACGTC